TTTTTGAATTTTTTAAAAATGATTGCTGCCCCATAAGTTTAGTTTTCAAAGATGCCAGTTTTTCTTGCCTAATTTCGTTGGTAAATAACTCAAACTTGTCTTTATGATTTGTTTCATAGTGTCTTTTCACATTAAATTCTTTACAACCAGCAATAATCTTATTTCAAATCAAACGAAGTGGTTTACTATTCCATTCAATAATAAAATACCAAATTTTCCACTTTGGCTGGAAAAATCAGCACTACCTATCAACTTTTTTTTTTACTGGCATTATTTATTGAAAACTTTTTACTATTGCAGTTTATTTGACCGAACTTGCTCACCAATAAGAAAACACAACAAAGTCTCTAATTATGGAAGTGTATTGAATACTGAATAATGTTGCAAGATGATTTTAGCTTTTATGGACAAAAATTTTCTGAAAAGTAGACCAAAAGTATCCAAATCAAAAAATTCATTTTTTAATACCCAAGATTTGACAACAAAATAAAAAAAAACAACATTTGTACTTTTCCAGCAAAAATAAATAATCTTGTTTAGACGGACTTTGAAGTTCAAAAGATGAAATTGAGAAAATATAATGTAAACAAGAAATTAAACACAAAAATAAATCAAATAAAATTAATATCTCTAAGTAATATGAATAAATAAATAAATAAAAATAATAATAATTATGTTTATTAAAGAAAATGTGATATTTTTAAATACAAAATATCACATTTTCTTTAGTATCAACATAATAAAAAATAAACAAATAGCATTATTGAATTAATGTCGGGGCTGCAACTAATTGCCTCGAAGGCCAGTCATGGCCCGTGGGCCATATCTTTGACATCACTAGTTTAAATGAACTGTTTCTAATACCTTCTGATCACAATAGTATTTTTTAATACTAAAACACACAATTTCTTGTCAAGTTAGTTTCATGTGATTAATTTTACTTTCAAAATTAAAGTAAAAAACAGATAATGAAAGTTTTTTAAAAATTATTTTAAGATTATCAACTTTCTTTGAAATCATAATATATATGTAATGAACCTCAAAAAAGTTATTCCAATAATCCAATTTAACAAATTAGATTAATTTATCATCACTCTATAGCAGGGCTTCTTAATCTTTTTCCATTCTTGACCCCTTTTTGTCCAAGAACATTTTACATGACCCAAGTATATACATATATATAGCTGCATAAAATAAATATACAAATAAAACATTATATGAAAATAAATCAAAGAAATTTAATTTTAACTTTTTTTTTGTGATAACTCAGGATGTATTTTCTTCATAATTGAAGTTTAGACTATTTACAAAAATTAAATTAAATGTTCAAGTCTATCTTTTAATCCCTTATACACCACCACAGAAGTAACAGTTTTAAATTGCTTTGAAGAAAACACTTCTTAAACAAGGTAAAAAATTGGTAGAAAACTCCACAATGTTAAAAGAGATAAAGTGCCAGCCTTTTCTTGTAGGTTCTGATACTTTTACATTAAAAACACAAAGAATTCTTCATACCATATTACCAATTTTTTACCTTGTTTAAGAAGTGTTTGCTTCAAAGCAATTTAAAGCTGTTACTTCTGTGGTGGTGTATAAGGGATTAAAAGATAGACTCGAAAATTTAATTTAATTTTTGTAAATAGTCTAAACTTCAATTATGAAATTAATTCCAACTGTTAGTTGTTATACTTAATTTTGCCACTTATTGCCATTTATTAGGACAAAAACAAATTTGCATGCTAATAAGATGCATGTGCTTATTTATTTTTGCATAAAGAGTTAAATCTTAGCTGAAAATTTGATACAGTAGGATTCAACACATTTTCAAAATTTTTCAAAGTTGATTGATATTTTGATTTTACAATCATCAATGATGAAAATACAAAAGGATATAAGAAATATAGCAACAAGCATAATGAATAGATTATATAATAATGAGAATTTAATTAACACTGTTCTGCCCACTTCAACACACAATCTTAAGTACAGATTCTGTCTCAGGAATTGGAAGAATCAATTCTACAAAGCATGGTGCCAATCAAAACAATGGAGAGCTAGCTCATTATCTCAGGAAATAAATATTTATGAAGCCTCTTGTAAAATTGCTAAAAACTGCTATATTTTGCATAAAATCAACATCAACACAAAATGAAGAGAGCTTCATTTCTGGAATTTTTGTATCAGATCAAAGGACCTGTTTATCTGATAAATCTTAACTTGTTTGTGTGTATTGAAAAATTATATTAATGAAAATTTTTATTAAATGTATAAACACATAGATTAATTTTTAATATACTTGTCTCTCATTTACTTTTACTTAAATTTTTAATCTTGTATTTTCTAGTCTTACTTTGTGTAGTTTCTTCTGCATTGTTTTTTCTAATTAATTCAAGTCCTTTATACATAATGAAATTTTTTTTAAATTTCAAGATTCTTGAGTAATTTTTTTTTTTTACTAATTCAGGAATTCCCAATTCTTGAGAATCCAGAAAGTTTGGGAAAACATAATCCTTAGCCACAATATACAACTTAAGGATGTATAGATTTTATAATTTTATGCTGAGGAATGATATCAAGAAGATTTTATTAAAATATCTATTTTTGGTAATTAAACTATTATATAAAAGCAGAAAACTTTGGTGGCACTTTGCATTGCATATGGCATCATGTGAAGTAAAGTTTGAAAAACATACAGCAACAAGTTGCATAACTTTCTCATCAACAGCATTAAACATTTCATTGGTACCATCTGTTATGATATTTTATTAAAAACTTTTTGCCATTTTATAATAATTAATTATATAAAAAGCTTAATTGGTAAGGAAGAGTTTTATAAAAATTGTAAATGCTAATCAAAAGTAAAATTTTAAGTTCACTCTATTCAGGATATAATATAAAACTCCTTTTATTTCTCCATTCCCTTGACATTTAACCATCAAAATTTAATAGTATCAATTCCCTAATACACAAATCTCCAACAGAAGACACAGGAGTTATTAAGCTTCAAAGTGGGTGAACAAAATTGAATCCTCCTCCACTCACAAACATAAGCATCAATATATGCAAAAATATTTTGGTGTTTTTTCTGTTTCTTGATGATTCAAGATCCTGAGTCCAAAAATAAAAAATCTTGAGAGGTCATTTTTTGACCAATTGTCATATTTTCCTTCTGTTATATATAACAGCATGGAAAGTAAAAAGTAAATGGTAGTAGAATGAGACTGAATAGGAGAATAGATTTAATTGGTAAGTAGTAACAGCTAGAAAATATATATGAATGCTTTATTTCTCTGTTATGCATTCATAATTTTAATTAAATATTTTAAATTAAAATGGTTTTCATAATTATTTTTGCTAACCAGTATTGGAGAATCTGACAGAGGAACATTTCAGGTTGAAGTGACATCCTTCATGAACAGTTGCCAAAGTTTTTTTGACCCCCCCAAATTCTGATACATGACCCCATATGGGGTTACAACCCATAGTTAAAAAGTCCTGCTCTATAGCATGATAGTGATTTCTATATCATTTATACTATGTGTATAAATCATCGTTTCTTGTGATTAATTTCTGATTTCTAATTATTTCACAAGTTGAAATTATTAGAAAATTAGTAAGAAAGGAGGAGAAATATTATTTTATACATTTTATATTTATAATGATAAATTACATTGTAAAAATTCACTTATCCTTTTAATGTTGACAGTATTGAATAAACATTAATTAAAACAAGTTAATGTTTTGATTATCAAGTAATGAAAAATTGCCAACTGGATGTATTTAAAGAATGAATAACACAACCTTTTTAAATATTCAGCACGAGATTTGTAATAAAGTAACATTTTTAAGCTAATTCTCTTTATTGGGTTTATTAAAATTTTTGTTTGAGTTTTTACTAAATTATTAAAAAACATAAAAAAAAATTTTAACATTGTTATATTTTAATATGTAATAATATTTATTGATATATTGATTTTATTTTAACTGTAGATATGAATGAACATAGCTCTCGAAGTCATAGTGTATTTTTAATTAATGTTAAACAAGAACATTTAGAAAACGAAAAGAAATTAAGTGGAAAGTTGTATTTAGTTGATTTAGCAGGAAGTGAAAAAGTAAGTTTTTTAAAAATTATGTATAAAAAAATAAGTTCTATTTTATCATTAATTTTATTTACTCATTCATTATGTACTTTTTACTTTTCTTTATCTTCATATTTTTTTCTTTATGTTGCGGATTGCACTCATGCAATGCAATGCAATGCAATCAGCAACATAAAGAAAAAAATATGAACTACTTATAGAGGAACTTTTAAATGGTGAATTTTCTTTTCTAAGTTTTCATAAAATGTTTTGTTAATAAAATTTTTATTAAATGCAACATCATTTTGTTATTGTATGCCTTGTACAGTACATGCCTTAATATGCACACAAATCTTCAGCAGTTGTCAAATAAAAATAAATTATATTTAAAACTTATAATAATTAAAATATACATATCAGAAACATTTTAATAATTATTTATGTGAAAATACAAGTTATAAGATGTTTTATTTTGATAGATTTTTAATTAATTCGTTAATTAAATAGTTTCCTGTTTTTTTTATTTTAATGAGATAAAATTTTCTATTACTCTTCAATTATCATATGAATTGGAAAAAAATAATAAAATTAACATTTTATTATAGGTAAGTAAGACAGGAGCAGAAGGAATGGTTCTCGATGAAGCAAAAAATATCAATAAATCATTATCTGCATTAGGAAATGTGATCTCAGCTCTTGCAGATGGAAATGTAAATTTTTTATATACTTAATAATTTTTGTTTTGTGACAAATGAGTGTATATACAGGATGTCAAAAAATGGTGCTTCCTTTGTTTTTACAAAAAATGCAACTTAAAATGTGTTGATTTTATCTTGCACATTGATTTGTATCTGGTTTAGATTTTAATATCAAAAAGGTACGTATACAAAGTAGAGTAAAAAATAAACTTTATTTTTCCTAAAAGTTTTAGTATACAACATACAGACATGTTTACATTACACCCATCTTCAAAATAAACTCCTCCCAGAACTATACATTTATACTAATATCCATATCACTTGTAAAAGTCCTAGAAATCATTCTTTGTGATGTCTTAAAGGGCTTTTGTCATAGCAACTTTTACATGTGATGCTGATTATAGTTTATGACCCTTCAATTTTTCCATTTTAGAGAAAAGATGAGAATATTATTTTGAAAAATTCTAAACTCTCACTAGTAAAAATGGGAAGTAGCATGTGAATTTATTCTCACTCTATTTCTGTTCATTTCAATGGAATTGTTTGTATTCTATTGTGGTTTGCAGTTCAGTGATTTTTATCACAAAATACCAATGCAATCTTACAAGCTTATTTTTAAGTTTATTATAGTAGGTTCATTCCCTTGTTTATTTTCATGGTTATACATGATTTATAGTTCAGATAAAAGTTTTTATAGTATTGTTATACAAATGCATTTGTTGTGTTGCTATTACAAATGTATTTTTTAATGATTTCAGTACAGTAGAGCATCGATTATCCGACTCCCGATTAACAGTCACATCAGTTAACCGACCGTTCTAGTCGGCAAATTTCAAATGTCCGCTAGTGATGTGGCACTACAATATTTGGCTATGTCTTGGCTACTTTAATATTATTTTTGTTAAATTTTTGTGTGTTTTAGCTGGCAACACCAGCTTGACCATTGAAGGGAAGCCAGTATTTAAACAAAACTTAATTTTCTAATTATGAGTGGTTGTTTGTTTTGTGAGCAATAAAATAATTTTAAAATAATTTTTAACAATACAATAGCAACAATTATTATTTTTTAAAAAATTTGTTAGGCTTAACATCGATGAAAATTCAACCGCAAAGTTGGTTAATAGCAATATACTAATTACATGGGATATACTAATATACTATACTAATAATGTATTTTTTTCGTTCTTTTCGGTTATCGGATTTTTTCAGTTATCCGACCAACCTGAGTCCCCCATTGAGTTGGATAATCGATGCTTTATCATAAATATTTTAGAGTTTATAGTGTTTAACATCATGCTAAAATAATGGTTTATAGGTAAATAAGTTTTTTGCTTTGTTTTAGTGTCTTTGGGAAATTGGTTGGTGTTACTTTAATTGTGACTGGGAACAAATTAGAAAATTTTCCATAAGAAATAATAATAAAAAAAAAAAACTTCCTGATATATGAATTGTTTTCAGGAACACACGACATTTGGATAATGGGGTGTGCCTGTATATAATTTTATTTATTTTACTATGAAATCATTTTGATATTCTATTAGTTAAAATTTATAAAAACTATTATCACATTATTTGTTAAATAAGACTTAAATTCAATGTTTTAGGTCACATTTTATGATTGACAAGTAGATTGGGAATGTGAAATATATTTTTCTGTTTGGAAATTAATTGGTAAATGAGATAACTAAAGTTTCTCTTTCTCTAACTCAGTGTTTTTCAACCTGTAGGTCGCAACCCCCAGGGAGGTCTCAAAGCCTTACACGGGGGGTCGCGGGTAAAAGAAAAAGACAAGTGTTTGTAGGTCCTACACTACAATAAAAAAAACTACAATTTCAGTGAGAAGGCTGTACCTGTTTATTTTACAGTGTAATTGGTTTTTCAATCGAATATTTAGGTCTCAACAGANTCAACCTATGCAGGAGCTGTCAAACATTACATCACAACTAGTATTTTTCAATAATTTCAAACCCAGTTAAAAGGCAGGATAAATGTCTTAATTTTGTTATGTTTGTACAGATATTTGTGATTTAAATGTGACAAATCTCTGTCCCATTTTCATTTGACTCTCCCTAATAATAATATGTCTATATCTATACTAATATATAAAGCAAGAATGTTTGTTTGCTGGAGATAATCTTGGAATCTACTGAACCAATTTTTAAGAGTCTTTTGTTATTGGAAAGCTTATTTCTTACAGATGAACATAAGCTATATACTATTTTCATATTAAAGAAGGAAAATGCAGAAGAAAGATGTTTTTACCAATGTTTGACTGGCATTATCATAGTGTCATTTGTCTGCTCCATTCAGGGTTGATTCCCTTTGCCACTTAGTGTGCATTTTTAAACTTATTATCTTATCTAATCAGTTTTGGTTTGATTTGTGTAGTTCAGGTAGTTGTGTACAGTAGACCCCCTATAACGGAGATTCCTATAACGCGGCAAAAAAATTGCGACAATATTCATATAAAGACGCTAAAAGGGATGCGTAAAATGCAGTAAAACATCATCGCCAACTCGTCGTCACAGACGAGCAGCTGAACTACTTTCTGCCATCCAGCGCCACGCTACGGAGAGTTTAGGCGAGTAAGTTGAGTTTACTATCGTCTGTACTGTATGTAAATTAGGTACCGTAAGTCTAATACAGCACTGTAATTTTATACATTTCTTATTCAACGACCATAAAAATTATTTCTATTAATGATGTCTCCAAAGTTCAACAAATTTTTCGCAGAAAAATAGCATCAGAAATCGCGGCCGCCGTTTGGTGCACTGCTCCTTACCGGTAATGCTTATGCGGGGCCGGTCTGTACTTTTAATGTACAATATTAAAATGAATGAATGAATGAATGGTGCGCTGCTCCGTGACGAAAACAAGCTTAAGCAATGGCAACATCGAACGGTGCACACTCGGTAAGTAATCCTACAATTTTTTGTTTATAGCATAGTTTATACGGATTATTCCCAAAAAATTATATGTGTTTTGGAAATGTTAAGTCAAATTAGTCTAGATCGATTAATTTTATGGAAGAAAACCTTTCAAACAGCCATAGTCCCTAAACTTCACACATGTCGGGCTGCGATTGGCTCATGTATTTAAGGATTCTTACAACACGAAATTCGTATAACGAGGAACGTATCTACTGTATTATAGGGGGGGTCTACTGTATATGCTTTGTTTATATTGTCTTGGTCATTTGTTACTTATAATAATACTCTTATGTTATCAGATACAACTATAAGAAGTGAATTTACTTCTTTTAGTTAAACTTTTGTGCACAGGCCTGTAGGCCTATTTTTGTGTGTTCATTGTTTTAGTATTAATCATACCTTACCATTAATTAAAAATAAGAATTAGTCTTATGTTATAAGATATCTGCCTATATAAATTGGATTCTTTCGGTTACTTTTCAGGTGTACACATGTGCAAGTGAGCCTTATTGATAAAATGCCCAAAAGAAAGTCACAATTGTAATAAAATACATCCTTGTAATGATTCCTCACTTCTTCCTACTGATTTCATCTCATCAACAAACTTCAAAATCCTTTGATTGATCTGGACCAAATTCTGCATAGTTTGGTGCCCTAAAAGAAACATGGACTACCATAAAACTTTGCCCTCTGTCTCTAAACTTCCAAACCTTTGAGCAGTCTGGACAAATTTTTCATAGTTACTCACTAAAATCCTCCAAAAAATTTACACTACTTTAAAACTGGAACCCTCAATTCAAACCCTCTAACTGATTTGCACTAAATTTTGCATTGTTACTCTCTGCTTCTCTGCAGGAAATACAGTATAATCTCTGAATAGCAGACACCATTGGGACTGAGGGGTTTGTTCATTATTTAGAGGTATTCACTATTCAGAGGTACATGCTAGCGGCTATACTGTATCTTAACCTGGTCATCATATAGTGACGAATACAATGGATTACAAAAACATCAAATTTGCATTGGGAATTAAATTTACCAAAAAGTATGTGTAGTATATATAATTAAAATATGTATAATTTTTTAGCTGTAAAAATCTTGTTCAAATGTCAAGTTATGAAGGCAATTTGCTATCCACTTTAAGGGTGGAAAATATATTCAGAATTGTTACATTTATGCCGTCATTTATGATCTAAGCAACTAACAAAAATCAATACAGGGATTTGTCTGCTTTGTAGTTATTGAGTATGTGTAATTTTTTGAAAATTTTTGCTTTTTTTTCAGTAATTGATTTATTAAAAACTAGCTTACCCGTCGCGCATTGCTGCAATCTCAGAAGAAATGAAATGCAAGCAAACTCGTAATGATAAAATTAAATTTTCATTTTATCGTTTTTATTGAAACTTATTATTATTATTATTCATTTTCATCAGGAAAATATTTCAAAGTGTTGTTTCAATTCTATTTATTTATTGGAGTGCTCGTGGATACACAATATTTTTTGTTTTTCCGTCTGGTGCGTACACGAATAAATCGGAAGGTTTTTCGACGCGTGAGCCGGCCACATACAGTTGTCCATGCGAGAAGCACGGATTCTCCAAATTTAGCCCACACACTTGCAGCGATTGTCAAAAGCGCGATATTCCCCATTTATATATATATTTTTAAATCCTTTATAATTTTAATTATTTAATTGCTCCTTCCTCTCTTCCTTGGCATGTTGTGAAATTTCTGATAGTTGGATAATAAACCGTTTTATTGTAATTTGTCTTTTTAAATTATTTTGAGTCGATATTAAAATTTGGAAAAGGGGGGATACCTAGATCGGTAAAATACGCGAATTTCTTCCTACAACTTCGGTTGTTGTTCGGGGTACAGTTAAGGTTTTAGAAGTTCGAGCGAATACATAATTAGCAAAAAAAAAAGTTGAAATAAAGTGATTAAACAAAAATTATTACAAATATCGTAAATAACAAATGCATATATAGAGATATTTTTTGAAAGGGGGAAATGGTCTTCACAATTTGAAATCGATCTAACACACTGTGCGCGAATGCTCGTGTAAACGCGCGCCATCTATCGTAGGATAAATGTACTTCGCGGGAGTGTATTAAAAAATTAAAAAAACTTTCCAAAGTTTTATGGCAATCGTACTATGCCACAAACCTTTGCCAGAGTATATTAAACAACTTCCCAAAGTTTCACGGCAATCGGATAAACGGTGTGGTAACGCATGAAGGACATAGGACACACACACAGACATACATTCATTTTTATATATATAGATTACATTTTAGCCACCACAAAGCTGTTAAAACAGTTATGACAACATTGATTGTTTGGTGAAAGTTCAAGGGTCGTGTTACGAAGGCTATTTGCCACCCACTTTAAATTGTAGGAAGATATTTGGTTTTCTTGCATTTATGATGTCATTTATGATCATAAGTTTCTTTTTTTTTTTATTACTACTATACTACAGTTCTTGTCGAATGAATGAATAACTTTGGAAAAGTTTATAGTTTTTTGTTGCCATAAGCATAATTCTAACAATAACACAGAAGTTTAATAACATTAATATGTATGACAATAAATAGTGTTTGACAACTTAACCAGATCAAACTCTCTAACACAAAGAATATTGTTTGACTTTTTATAACCTGTCCTCCTCTCCTATTCTTATTTTAAACTAGTCTTTATTTGATGCCTATGGTCAAAGTTCATCATCTGAAAGATTATTTGAACTAATTTTTTGTTTTCATTTTAAAACATTTTATATGTAATTAATTCTTTCAGAATATAGAAAGTGGGTCATTGCATTTTCGTAAGGTTATTTATAGACGACAGCATCCATTATTTAGTGTGTCTACTTTTAGAGGTAAATATAATAGATATCCTATTTGAAGGGTCTGGAGATTGTAAAAATGTCCATTAAGTGGAGGTGTCCGCTATTTGGAAGTGTCTGTTAATGGAGGTTTCAATGTATATTCTATTTTATTATAAGGATAACTTAGTCCTCTCCCAGAATCCCTGGCAATGCTGGACATTCTTTGCTAATTTAATTATATATACATATATACAAACATAGATGAATATTTACAAGACAACAATTCATGATATTACTATGTTGAATATATAATCTAATTTTTTATCAGATTTCTTAGAAATAATAGAAAACGTTATTGCCAATCAAAAAATTTATTTTTATCTTTATTAAAAAAATATAATGCTAATTAAAAGTATTCTGTAAAAGAAAATAATTAGTTGATTGGTTGCTTTAGTTTGTGTGCAAGAGCCATTTTGGTAAGCTGCACTATACCAAAATGCAAATAAATAAAATAAATACATGCATACATAAGAAATAACAATATAAATTGTTGCAAAATATAAGATTATTATTATACTTTTTATTACATAAGACAAATATATACATTGTTGTTGTCTTTTACATTATTCAACAAAATACTATACACAAATTAGTTTGAATATATTTGAGATTTAGAAAGTCAAGTTTTATAACCAGGTTTGGCCTATGGCCCAAGATACTGGTAAATTGCATTATTGCCAGAATGTAGTATAATAATATGGAACTTGCAGAATTTTAACAATATATGTTTAATGCTTATAGCACAATCACAGATTTTATATACTGGTTGATTCTCACACTTCAAAGAGTATTGATGAGTCAGACAGCTATATCCAATTTGTAATCACTCCAGATATCCTATCATAAATTTCATCCGGTGTCCAATTTTCTATTAGTAATTTAATCTCATAGTTTATTGTAGATTTTGTCATTCCACATACTTTGCCATTTATCTTTGTCTTTTCTTGATTTACCAGGTTCAAGGCAAAGCCTTTAATGAGTATTGCATACTCAGAAAGGAAAATAATAGAAAATTTTTTAAAAAGTTAGAAAATGTTTCCACATTTAATTGAGTTTATATTATAAAATTTTAATAATAAAAAAATTGAAACTTCAAATTTTATACTGTCAATTTTTTTAATTTTTAGAATNTTGTTAACGTTTTAGGTAGGACCTATTGTAAAAAAAAAACAAGGAAGATGTGACCAGTAAGATCAACTTGGTCATTTGGTCAGGACATTTTTATCATATTTTTGTAATACATATCATTTAAATGCACAGAGCAATTTATTTTTGAATTAAATATAATGGGTCTTGCAGTTTCAAATTAATGCATTTAATGTAATATTAATGTGTGTGATGGGTGCAATACAATCTAGTAATTTGAAATTTGGTAATTTTATTAAAAGCTCTAAATTCTCTGAAAGTAGATCATTTTCATTTATAAAAAAATCAGTAAAATTTAACAGAAAAGATTAATAATCTCTTCTATATATTAATCATTATAGTTTTATAATTTCAGTTAATGATACATTTCATCAAATACTGATAAATTATTAATATATTATTGGACTGCAATTTGAAAAAATTGTAGACTTATAAATTCTCACTGCCATCCATCTGTCTGTCCTTCTTTAATCTCATTAAATTATTACCTGATGCATTGTTTGTCATCTTTTATTACTGCATTCTTCTTAAATTAGAAATACTTAAAAACTGAAGCAAAGACAGAAAAACTTTTAGTTATTATGTCTTTCATTTTAATATATGGAATTCCATTTTTATATTGACATCTTGTATGTTTTTGTCACAGAATTATTAATTTGATACATTATTATTTATATTGTCTTTAAAATCTTGTTAGAAATCACACATTCCTTATCGAGACAGCAAACTCACTCGTATTCTACAAGAAAGTTTAGGTGGAAATTCTCGTACAACAATTATTATCTGTTGTTCACCAGCTTCTTATAATGAATGTGAAACAAAATCAACATTAGAATTTGGCAGAAGGTAATTTTCCTATATTTTTGTAATGATCTATATTGCAGTAGATTGGAATGAGAATAAGAATTAACCTCATATGTACAATAAATAGTTAGATATAATTTAATAGATTATTGTATTTCCTATTAACAATTTTAATATAAAATTAATTTTTATATTTTAGAGCTAAAACAATTAAGAATACTGTGATTGTTAATGAAGAACTTACAGCTGAAGAATGGAAGAGACGATATGAGAGAGAAAAAGAAAAAGTTTCCAAATTGAAAGGACAGCTTAATAGTGCTGAACTTGAACTTAACAGATGGAGAAATGGTAGACAAAAATTTTTGTTTAATAAATAAAATTATTGCATGTTTATTATTGCTTGAATATCAAATAATTCATTAGCAAACATTAATATATACTTAATAAAACATTAAAAAATATAACTAATCTATTAATAGGTGAGACAGTACCACAAGATGAGCAGTTAGCTTCAGCAGATTTAACAACTAGCACTTTAAGCTTGTCTGATGTTCCTCCTCCCACTGTTCCTGTTCCTACCATTCCAATTTCATCAGATCCTTTAAGCAATGATGAAAGAGTGAAATTTGAAGAAGAAAGATTATCCTTATATGCTCAATTGGATGAAAAAGATGATGAAATTGATCGGCAGAGTCAATTAATAGAAAAACTTAAAGAACAAATGCTTGAACAGGAAGAAGTAAATTATTATTATTACTCCATCTTGTCTAACAGTTTTCATAAACAGAATTATAATTGTTTTCTAAATGATTGTCTGTGCTTAGGATTTTTGCATACACAGTAACTTTTTAATTTAAATTTTAAGAGATTTTGAAAAAAAATTAAATTATTCAATATGAATAAACTTCAACTTGGGATTCCTTGACATATCATCATTATTCAAAGTTGTAATGATCATTCATAAAGCATTTATAGTAGACATAGTGGCAAACACAAGGCACATACAGTTGAAACAAAACAAAACAACTATGCTGAGAGTCATACACCCTCGTATTCTCTATAATAAACTTCATAATAGTTTTAAAACATTATATAAATTTTCTCATTTCAGACATTTATTTTTGTTTAGTCATGTTAGAATAAAAAAATGCTGATGGTACGATAGTTTTGAATTTTGTTAACTTCACCCAGATGGTGGTATCATATTAAGATTGAAGACAGTCTGTCTAAATAGTCATCTTTTTATCCACTTCTGTGTTACAAAATACATTTCATGACAATCTGACTTGTCTTTTTATGCTACTTGGTTGCCAAAAATTTTTTAATTTTTTTTAAAATGTGAAAAAATATATATCCAATTAAAAATAATAAAAAAATTTTTTTTTTTAAATCTGAGCAGAGACAGATGTCTTCTTGCTTTATAAAGTTAATTAAAACAAGAAAAGTGTTGTAAAGTGATATTAGAAATCTGGGACAATGATTGTTAACGTTTTAGGTAGGACCTATTGTAAAAAAAAAACAAGGAAGATGTGACCAGTAAGATCAACTTGGTCATTTGGTCAGGACATTTTTATCATATTTTTGTAATACATATCATTTAAATGCACAGAGCAATTTATTTTTGAATTAAATATAATGGGTCTTGCAGTTTCAAATTAATGCATTTAATGTAATATTAATGTGTGTGATGGGTGCAATACAATCTAGTAATTTGAAATTTGGTAATTTTATTAAAAGCTCTAAATTCTCTGAAAGTAGATCATTTTCATTTATAAAAAAATCAGTAAAATTTAACAGAAAAGATTAATAATCTCTTCTATATGTAAAAATAAAATAATCAATTAGGATTTTTTAGTGTTTGTTTAATTTTATGAATCTGATCTAAAATAATAAATAAATTAAGTGTGAACTTGTGTAGTTCTAATATTGCTACAAAACCTTACATTCAATTTGTTAGAGCAAACTCTATATTTATCTGTCAAAATAATTAATTTGAAAAACTATCTTTTAAAAATTGTACACATTTCAGTAAGTGATTTGCTATAAATTTTGTTCTTTTTACTATTAGTTGATTGGTTCAATGAGAAAAGATTATGAGAATGTTCAGCAAGAGATGAGTCGTATCCAACAAGAATATGAATCTGCAAAAGAAGAAGTAAAAGAAGTTTTACAAGCACTTGAAGAATTAGCAGTCAATTATGATCAAAAGTCTCAAGAGGCAGAAAATAAAAGCAAGGAGTATGAATGCCTAAGTGAAGAATTAAGTCAAAGACTGGTATATAAGATATCATTAAGGTTGTTAATTTTCTTAAATAAATTTTTCTAATATCAACGTTATTTAAATATTTACAGAGTCAATTGAATTCTACTCAAAATGAACTTCAACAAATAAAAGATACTAGTTTCCATCAGCGTAAACGTATGACAGAAATGTTGACAAACTTATTAAAAGATTTAGGTGAAGTTGGTATGGTTCTTGGAGGAAATACTACAGATATGAAAGTAAATATTAATTTATAGCATATTTGATGTAAATTATTTGAAAATAGTTTTAATAAGCTGAAATGCTGAAAATTTTATATATATAAAATTATATATAAATAACTTTAATTAGTATATATATACACTGAAAATTTTTGCATTAGTCACTAATAACATGTTTTTACTTTAATATATTGTTATTAGAAGCCAAAAAATTTAAATGTATAATATCAATGATGATTTCTATCAAACTGAATATAAACTTGAATTGCAAATATTATTATTTTAGGCTGTTATAGAAGTAGTATTATAAATTTGTCAGTATATGGATTTATTGGAAAATAGAAATCTGTAGTATTACAAACATTTTTCACAATAAATTTCATATAAACTATTATCCCTGGAAAATGAATTTTCCTCAGTTTTTGGAATTGAAAGTAATTTTGAGAAAGAGAGAGATTTAACTTCTTTTTGAAGAGAAGTGCCACTTTGAGTTAAGCAAAGATGTGCTGATTATTGAGAAAAGATGTTAATTTCAAAGCAGCTGAGAATTTTTTCTTTATTGCTTTGTCATTTATATTATTATTTTATCCATTTTCAATAATTATAATTAATTATATACATTGTTAAGATATCTTTAAAAATTACATTATGATAAAATTTATTCACAACTTTCAAAATACAGTTTTGGATTTACTTTTTTTTTAAGTATATCCAGTATTATTACAGAAAAGACAAAATAATAATATTAACTCTTTTGCCAGTCACCACATTGCTGTGATGAGAGAGCTCAGTAATTCTGATGAACCACAGAGCTATGCCAGCTGGAGAATCTATTCTTGGTAGGATCACCCATGCCAGTTAGGTCTGTGGAGAGAAATGAAGCCAAGAGTGACTGAACCCAATCTGTGGAGATCTAACCATAGTGATAACAATCAAAGTGTAATAATGGCTTGAACATTGCCCAGGATAACAAGGTCCAAACTTGTGAGTTAAGCTGAGGCTCATATTCAAAAAATTTGTCACAGTGTCTCTTGGCTACCATTGGTGAAAGTAGCATTGGTCATTGCAGTAGCCATACTTAGACCATACCAGTTGTGAGAAACTGACTGAACCATTTCTGAGGCAATTTAGTCACAGACCACTAAGGTAAACCATGCTAATGGATGAAATGGACATCAGAAATGAAGGCATTTATCATACGTACTTACTACACTATCACAAAACTCGAAACAGATATGACAGCATGCAGACAACAGTTACATCACTTGCTTTTACAACATTTATTTTCATCTCAGTCACAATATAAAGGGTTGTTGATCAAAAAAGAACAATTATACTTAACAATATTATACTATAAACAACACTAGAACATATCAAACAACAAACTGTAGAACAATTACATCAACTACAATCACATTATCCATTAGGATCATCAAGATACATGCATTGACAATACTGTTCCTACCACCACTATTTTCACTGATGCTGACAACAATATCAACACTTCTTCACTGCCTGAAATAGATTCGGGGTTAATTCATACTCTCTCTCTTCTTTTCCAAGAAGCACCCACTAAATTTACAGGTACTGACCCTGCACAACGGTCATGCATTCCCAAAAGCAACACTTCTAAACTAGTAAGGAAAACACTATATTATGTGAACACTTGCATATTACCAGATTGTGCTAATTCTGTTTCTACACTCTGACGTCCATATGCTAGCCTACACTGGTGCAGTCACAGTAGTGACCTACCATGGACTAAAACTACACTCACAGACAGAAGCACACAAACAAAAATCCTTCAGAAGCCTTCCTGGAAAAGAAGAATAGAAAAAACAAATAAACAATATTAGACTGCAGCTAGGCAGGCGGACATAATATGCTAATAACAAACAATGTCTAAATTAATGAAACAACTAAAAACCTTTTCAAGAAAATTAAAAAACACAATGTCCACATCACAGAGTACATTGACACACTGAAACAAAAACTTGCAGCCAAAGCATGACAACTCAAACAATACAAAATTTGTATGGACAGAAACAACAAAATAAATTATTCACAAACAATGAAAAAATCTTTTACAGGCAAATTAATACCAAATCCACTACTGATTCCCAAAACAATGACATGCCAACTGAAGAAACTCACAAATTATTGGTCTTCTCTTTGGTCTAATTCTGTCATCTACAATGCCAAAGCAGACTGGATCAAAGAGGAGAGCAAAAACATGCAGGACACCTAGTATGCATTGTGTTGAAATAAATACACAAGATATTCATTGCACAATGCAGAAAGCACAAAACTGGACAACACCTGGTGCAGATAACATTCACAATTTCTGGTACAAAAAATTTACTTCCTTGCACCAGGAATTGGCTAAACATTTAACTCATATCATCAACAATCCACAAGACATGCCAAATTTTTTCACACGGCATCACGTACATGAAACCAAAAAACACCACCACCACCAAAGACCCTGCACAGTACAGGTACATTACAATTATATGACTTTCAACACTTTTATGACCTACAAAATTCTTACTTCTTGCATTGAAAACAAAATATACAATCATATTGATGAACAAAACATTCTTACAGAACAACAAAAGTGCTGCTGTAGAAATCACAAAGGATGCAAAGAACAATTGCTCATTGACTCTGTTATCCTATGGCAAGTTCATAAGCAACACAGAAACATACATGTGGCATACATTGATTATAGAAAAGCATTTGATAGTTCCCACACACTTGGCTGCTGCACACACTTTGCATCTACAAAATTCATCCCCAACTGATTAGTTTCCTTGGTTTTACCATGCTTCACTGGAGAACAACTCTTAACCTTCATAACACTCACATAAAAACAAATCAAATATACATAAAGCAAGGAATTTTTCAAGGCGATTCCTTGAGTCTTCTTTGGTTCTGTCTTGCACATAACCATTTATCTAACACATTGAACAAAACACAGTGCTCTCGACTGCGCCAGAAAATCGATTGGCGCCCGCGAAAATTCAAAAATACACAAATGAAGTATATTACCAAGTAACCCAGTGAGAACTGCTTGCCTATCATTTTAGTTCAAAATACAAGAAGTTTTATTCCAAGCAAGCCTCACAAGCCCGCTAGGTTAATTTCTGCTGCTTGCTTGGAATAAAATTTCTCATATTTTATATTAAAATGATAGGCAAGCAATTCTGTAAAAGCACTGGCACTGAACGTTTCGCTTCATGCAGTCTATTTTGCAACTTTTTTAAAATGATGTCAATCCCGAAAATCTCGGGATTAGGAAAACTTAATCCCGAAAATTTTGGGACTGAAAAGTAGTCGGGATCCCAATTTTCGAGATCCCGGGATCAAATCCTCTACCCTGTACTCACGTATTCTTTTGGATTTATACACTGGACAAGCACAGATCTCAAGCAACTCCAAAGGAAAACAAGAATAACATTTACTAAGCATAAACAATATCATCTAAAATCATTCGTAGAAAGACTAACTCTTCCTCATAAAGGTGGCCTTGGTCTGACTAATATAGTTAACCTGCACTGCAAACAATTCCAGCACTGTAGTTCTTCCACAAAAAACAAGAAACATCAAAATTACTGTCTGCCAGAGTTATAGCTTTATGTAATCACACACCTTTAAACTTACACTCTGAGCAGCTGGAAATAGCTCAACATATAAATAATATAGACACCACTAAGCAGTCATGGTCCCAAAAGGCACTTCATGGCAGAGTTAGATCATGCCTATGACCTAACTCTGGACTGTGTTGAAAAAACTGCATCAAACTACTGGATGACTAAGGTGTGTCCGTTTTGAGAGACTGTTATGTATATTATTGTTATTATTATTATATTTCATATTAATAATTAAATATGATAGTCTCTCAGCTTTAAAAAAACTAAAGGATTATAAAAGGAACTAGAAAAAGTTATTAAAAACAAAATAAATGAAAAAGAAAAATTCTCAACTGTTATTAATTATAAACAGTATTGGTATCATTAACATATTCCTATGTTAATGATACCAATCCTATCTGTTGCTAAAGAAGTAACCTTTAGTAAAAAGAGCTAAAAATTATTATTAAATGTTTTCATTTTAAGAACTTTTGTTATTCACTTTTATTCTGAATATTCTACACCAAACGATAACCTAAATATTGGGCTATATTTAGGTGATTGTTGCGATGTTATTAGGTTGTTCAGAAAGTAATTTTGTTTTTTTTTTTTACCACTAGACAGAGTAGTCATATTTTTCCTGCCATTTTCATTCTAAACCGTATTATCATTATATATTTTGACAGCTAGCATTTTAAGGCTTATTTGTAAAAAATTTTGTTTGATTTTGTGCAATTGGTGTATTTTTTTGTGTCCCATCAAATATGGAAGATCGAAAGCAGAATTTTCAGCATATTTTGCTCTTTTATTACCAAAAAGGTAATAATACAGTTCAAGCGAGAAAAAAATTGTGTGATGTGTATGGGGAAGATGTATTGACAGAACGACAGTGCCAAAACTGGTTTACAAAATTTTGTTCTGGCAATTTCAATATTGAAGATGCACCACGTTCTGGATGGCCAGTTGAAGGCAATGAAAACAAAATAAAGGTACTGATTGAAGCAAACTGCCAAATAACAACACATGAAATCACTAAGAGATTAAATCTGTCAAATTGAACTGTTTATGATTACTTGAAACAAATTGATTTTGTTTCAAAGCTTGATATATGAGTTCCACATGTTCTTAAGGAGAGATGCTCTCTGGTGGGATTTTAAGGAAATTTTTTGGAGCTTTTACCAGACAATTTAACAATTGATTCGAAAGTGTACTGCCATCGAGTAAACAAATTGAGTAATATCATTAAACAGAAAACACAGCCAGAATTGATCAACAAAACAGGTGTAGTGTTTTACCACGATAATGTCAAATTTCACACAAGTTTAGTAACTCGTCAGAAACTGTTAACTGTTATAACTTAGATGGGACATGTTATCACACCAACCATATTTGCCAGATTGAGCACACTCAGATTATTACGTGTTCTGGTCTATACAAATTTTTTTTAACTAAGACATTTACTTGAAATGGCAATGTCAAAAATCACTTGGATCAATTTTTTTGTAAGCAACGATCAAAACTTTTATGAATGTGAAATCATACTACTACCAGAAACGATGAAAACAAATATTTGACCAAAATGGTTGAGAAATAATTCAACAAAATATTTATGTATTATAAAAATGTTGTGTTTTTCCACAGAAAAAAACGAAATTACTTTCCGAACAACCCAATATTATATGGATATTCTGCAGAATTTATATTTTCATGTGAAACAATAATTTTGTTGTGTTTTAGCAAAGTTTTAACTTTTTTTTTTCCTGTTATGCTATTTTCTTTTCTTTCTTCTTGATATTAGAATTTTCCTGTTTATTCAGTTTTGAAATAATAAATTTAAGTCTTTTTGCAAAATAAGTTTTTATTTCAAATGAAATTTAGGTAATTTCTTTAGCAATTTTGCTAATTATTTTTTAAACAAATTAAAATAATAAATTTTTCAGAATATGAATCAGGGATCAGGTGATGTAAGTGGTAAAATTGAAGAAGAATTTACAATGGCTCGAATTTTTATTAGCAAAATGAAATCTGAAGTTAAAGGTCTTGCTCAAGTAAGTCATAAATATAATTTTCATATTATTTTATTAACTATTTTCTCTAACATACTTTAATTTGAATTGTTTTTAGAGGTGCCATCAATTGGAATCATTCCAAACTGACTGTAATAAGAAAATTGAGTCAAATGAAAAGGAATTAGCTGAATGTAGATTATTAATTAGTCAGGTAAATTTTTCTTATTTTTGAAATGTAGACTTTTTCATATCAAGTAATACAATAAACAATGTAAAAATTTTAGTATGATGCCAAAATGAAATCTCTACAAGAATACATGAAAGATGTTGAGAATAAAAAACGTACTTTAGAAGAAGCTGTTGATAGTCTTAATGAAGAATGTGCAAAATTGAAAGCAGCTGGTAACTATTTTACTTTTCTATAATTAATTTTTTTTTATTACTCAGTTTTGAATAGCTTTATAAAAATTTTTATTTTAAATATGCTTAAAGCTTTTCTAGTAAAGAAGTTTTAATGCTTTCTTTTATCTTAAAAAAGTTAATAATAGCATAAAGTTTTTTCCAAGATGTTTTTCAATGTTGATATCTAGATATGAAAAGTATAAATGTACTGTACTGTACATATATTTCAATCTTGATGATGTGATATATAATTTTCCTTAAAATTTTATCAAGGTATCTAAAAATCTTCCTGTAAATTTTCTATGAAAATATTCTTTCAATATCTAATAAACAAAATATAATTTAAAAAGTTACTGGACTAGATGCGTGAAATTATAAATAATAAAGAAATTGATGTCCACTTCTTCAAAATAATTCATGGGTGCTGTTTTTTTTATTTCACAGAACATTTTTCATATAGACTTTGTTTCCTTTTACCTTTGTTCTATAAATTGTTTTACCAACTAAAAACTAACTTTTTTGAAGTTTTTCGGGGCTGGTTGCATGAGTTTCAATCTCAAGATTAAGGTTACCTTAATCTACAGAATTATTATTGATACCTTACACAAATATAAATCTTTGGGATAAACTGCTTGCTGTTTATGTTAACTCTAGATTATCAGAGAAACAAGATGGCTGACACCAGTTCTGATTCTGGTATAGATGAAGTTATCCTTATACAAACAGATTGATCCTGTAACATTATGATTATTTTACAAATTCCTAAACAGTTTTGGTTTGATGATTTTACATTTATTGTTAGGCATAAATGAATCATAATAATATTTGACATAATAGTTGGGCATAATTGAATTGTATTTTAAATAGTTTTTTTAACAAAATCTATCATAAAGTGTGGATTTTCAATTACTGTAGACATTTGCTAAATCTATGTTTTTCCTTGACATACTAATTTACTCAATGCTTTGGTTGCTCTTTTTATTTTTCTATTTTGTTTATAATTGCTCTTGGCAATATAGTTGTGCCCCATAAGAGTTTTTCATCTAATTGGTTATTAACTATCTGTTGAATTAAAGTAGTTTGGACATGAGCATAACCTTGTTACCAAAGAAAAGAATTAGCTTATTCTATAAATAGCTGTTCTGGAATTTAAATGGTAACTAATGCAATCAGCTCCTAGATGTATGGAGAAAAATCTGGAATAGATTTTGCAAACTGTTGAGTAATGGATGAAGTAAGAGGATGATAATTTCAGCCATAATTTGTTCCATGAATGTCTTAATAACTTCTGCACAAAAATACGATTATTGCTAGTATTATGGTAACAAATTCAAAATGTACAGTTTCCCTTTTTTTTCTTTTTCTTTCAAAGAGACATTAGCATCACCTTAACATAGTGTAAAATTGTCTCTCCCTTTCTGATTTTTCTGTGGCCGTTGTCTTAATATTATATCCTTTTCATATGTTTCATCATCAGTAATTAAAGTTTTGAAGTTTATCTTCATCTGCTCACTGTATCTAATCTTAAAAAATGAATATTCAAACAATAATCCAAGTCTAAATCTTTAACTTGATGCAGAGTAATTTTTGAGCACTTTAGTGTTTACTTCTTGAAATTTTGTTTGAAAGAATCTAAGTTGATGAGTAACTTGAAAAATCATTATTAAAGGGGATGAGTATTCACTGATAGTGTTTGCATCTCAAAAGCTATTGTTCCCTGGTGCTTTCGATATGTACTATACACATTTCTGTGGTAGTCTTTCCAAGTTCATCAAACAACCTTTTGTGTATTTTTACATAAATTTTATTTATAGTATGAAAATTCTGGCAAAGATGTAGCTGTACGATGATTGTAGACTCCAAATTCTGACAATAGCATAAAGAAAGGTCTGTTTGAGTTAGAGCTATTGTCATTCTAAGGAACTTATTTATCAAAATGTGACCTTCTGTAAATATATAACTTTACAAAATTTTATGCATGTGTGCTGCTAATATTTATAAACCCACAATTCAAAATGCAATTCAGCACTTGCAAGAGAAAAGAAAATCAAGCTTTCTATTTGAACAGTGTTATATTGAATTACAACTTTGTATCTGTACAGTGTAAATGTGCTTTCTGGTATACATGACTTAGTTTTGATTCTAGTATTTAGTTGCATGTCATTGAATCAGTTCAAGTTCTTTTTGAGGACATATTGTAATTATAAAATTTTAGTACAAAATAAGATTCATAATAAACAAATAATTGTGAGTTTTATTTATAAAAAAAATATATTTTATTGAATTTTTATTAATTTTTCAGAGGAAATGCATATTGTATCAACCAGAGAAAAAGAAAAGGAAAAAAATACTGCAGAAAAAATGAAAGAGGCCTTGGAACAACAAATAGAAAAACACAGAGAATCACATCAAAAACAACTTAATCTGTTGAGGGATGAAATATCAGAAAAACAAGCTTTAATTGATCAGTTAAAAGAGTAAGTTTATATTTTCAAAATAATATAAGCTTGAATTATTATAACAGTTCACAAAATATTTAAAGATAATTTTGTGATAGTTACCAGCTTAGCTATCATTAATTCATATCAACAGATATTAGTTATATCTAGTATTTATTGTTTTAAGTTAATCTTTGTGGTAGTCATATGTATAATAATTTAATTTTCTATTCATTATATGATCTTTATAAATAAAAAATAAAGTGAATTCTTATTTTAAAACTATTATATTAATTGCTAAGGAATAAACATCATAAATATTAAATATAGTAGAATCTGCTTATTGCAATCACAGAAATTGTTATATATTTTTGGATGTGCTAATGCTAAGTTAAAGGTTCATTTTCCTGTAACTAACCAAATATTTGTTCTTTGGCTATATTTTAAATCATTTTTCCTCATCTAAACCTTTATGACTTGTTACTTTGGCCCTTGGAATCAAACATTCTTGGTTCATTACTTGATCTGGGTGGCATACAAATAGGCTTGGTCATTGGTTGTCCTGGTGAATGTCTTTGCACCTGAGTTGCAAAAATTTGATGTTATCTCACGTTTCTGCCTTTTTGGCATTCATGCATCATTTTTCCATTATAGTTTCTATCAATTATGGGGATCCAAATGGCATTGTTATAGCTTTTTTAGTTTTTTTGAACTGAGATGCTAAACTGTTAAATTATTTCTGCTAAAAATGACAAAACTGGAAAACGAGATGAAACAAAAACACTAACAGAAAATGTTTTTGGTTAAATGAAAATGCATCTTAATATATATTTATAAAACTCTGTGTATTTAATCAGATTTGGTTATAACTAGCTTAAAAATGTATTTCCTGAAGCTGTCATTTTTGAACTATTGATCTCAGTATGTAGTTGATAATGCACAATTGTTATCAATCTTACCATGCTTTAAACATTAATGGTTTTAAAGTATTGTATTACAAGCAAATAATTGCTTGTAATATGCTCTTAAAATAAAATGACAATAATTTAAATTATTGTATTAAGAGCTAGCATAAGATTGAAGTAAAAAAGATATACTGTAAAAAAATAATAATAATTCATATAGTTTTGTTTGCCTGTTAAATTATATCTTCTTAATTGTTCTAAAATCCTTTTAATGTCAGTCAATAAAACTAGAATTACTACATCATATGTATTTATTCTGTTTAATGTTATCAGTTAGTTATTGTCTCTATTTCAAAGTGATTACGATAAATGAAATATATTTTATGAAGAAAAATTTTGGCATGATATTAGCAAGAGCAAAACAGAATTACAAAACTTGATGCTAATTTTAAGAAATTTTAAAAAAAAGTCCATAAAATGCATTTAACATAATGTTCTTATTTTCTTTAGTACAAATCAAAAGTTATCATTAGCTCAAGAAAAGATGAAACAAGATTATGAAAAATTGAAACAAGAAGAGGTAGAAAAGAGTCATAAACTTAAACAATTAATGTAAGTAAAACTTTTTAAGGTACCTAAAAAGATTCAAATAAGTAGTTCCTACAATTTAATCTGACCATGTTGTAGGCTGTTAAGTGATCGTAGGGAACAGGCACGTCAAGATTTAAAGGGTTTGGAAGAAACAGTGGTAAGTAGTTTTAAGAGAAAGTGTAATGAATTAGATTATTTTATAGTCTGTTAGAAAAAACTTAATGGCTGTTCTTTATATTCTTAGGCTAAAGAATTACAGACTCTACACAACCTAAGAAAATTGTTTGTTCAAGATTTGCAAGGCAGAGTAAAGAAGTCAATATTATCAGATGATAATGAGGATTCTGTTGAAAGTCCTGCACAAAAACAGAAAATTACATTCTTAGAAAATAATTTGGACCAACTTACCAAAGTGCATAAACAGGTAAAAAAAAAAACCTTTATTTTAATCTATAGCTTAATTCTTAAATTTGTAACACGATTATGAGATTTATGGGATATTATTTTTAAAAAAAACATGAAAGCTTGTTTGATCATCATCATCATTTGAAGATGCTTTTTAAGTTGAAAATTTTATCTTGGCTCATTATAAAATATTTATAATACACTCATTCAATACAATCATTATAATCTTTAACACTACTTTTAATAATACAGGTAGCCCCCGTATAACACGGTAGTTATGTTCCAAAAAATTGCCATGTTATGCGAATCCGTGTTATACGAAACAAAGAACTAATACGAAAAGGAGGGTTAGGTTCCAAAAATTAAAAAAACATGCTACTATATTTTCATAATTAAGATAAATATCTTCATTAAAATTTTTTTAAGTGATACATATTAATATAAATTAAACAATGTTTTCTTCGTCATCACTAAAAACACTATTAATTAACCGAGAGCGTTTTCTTTTTGGCAAGTTATCCTTATCCTCTGAGCATTTTTCTGCATTATCTTCAGATCCATGCTTTACCTTTTGCAAAATGTATGTAATTTTAGATTGCTTGCTTCTAGTTAAAAGGTCTTTATAAATTTCCTTATATGGTGCTAAGCACTTATGAAGAATAAAGCAAGTATGGAATAAGGGAAAAACATTCGGCAACATCAGAAGCAGAAGCGTCGCGATCTGGCAACATTGAAACAAGTTTCGAGAAGGACCACGTGTATCGACAGAAGGCGAGAAGAGAAAATTTACATACTTAAGTACTAATAGTTCACGAAAATAATAATTTTCGTGAACTATTATTACTTAAGTATGTAAAAATTTATTACATTTCCTGTTGTACGAGGGTTTTACCCAATTCTCGAACCGTGTCAGAGTAAATCCGTGCTATAAAAGTACCGTGTTATACGGGGGATGGTACCAATTCTCGAACCGTGTTAGAGTGAATCCGTGCTATAGAAGTGCCGTGTTATACGGGGGTTACCTGTATAGATACAAAATAGTAACTTGGAGAAACTAGTTGATATGATAAATTTTGTCATGAAGACAACTCTATCTGTTTCCAAATACTAGCACAGTTATTAATTTTTAAGTCTCATGAAATTTTAATAAATCAATAGTTTTTCTCATTTTTTTTAAAATTAGAAAAACTATTTGACAGCTAAATTATAATTTGATCTAATATCAAATAAATAATATTATGTTTTAGGGAAAATATAAATATATTTATACATAAGTAAATTGGACAAAAAATTAGTCACCCCTGTCAGAACATACCTAAATAACAGTTGTGGTGCTTCTTCCTGTATAACAGCATGAATCCATTGTGGTGGAGACTCCACAAGGTTGTGGATGTATTGAACATCATTTTGTAGCCATTCATGTATCATTTCTGAAGTTCCGCCAGAATATGTGGGTGTTTATTCCAGCACAAAAGGTGAATTCACTGTGGGATTATTTGGAACAGGAAGGACTTTACCTTCCGTTCCAAATAATCCCATCGATTTTTAATTGGATTTAAATCTAAAGATTTGGTGGGACAGTTGAGGTGAGACAGTTGCTGAATATTTCTACTGCTCAGTTTTAGTGCTGTCTGTGTACAGTACATGGTATTTGTTATATTGAAAGACAGGCATGGCAATGTGATGCTGCTCCCAAGGTTTAGGGCAAAAGGCAACACTTTATCATTCAGAATATTAAAATATCCATGCTGGTTCAAATTTGAAATTCTTCATCACCACAACAAGAGTCCATTTTGTGGTATGAAAAAACATCCCAAAACATCACCAAACCACCTCTAGCTTGAATAACACCTTCAACACAATCAGGATTGAAGACCTGCATTATGCATTTGTTGCATCCCATCATCAATGAATAGTATAAGCAAAAATGAGACTCATCCAACCAAATCACTTGTTTCCAATCTTCCACAGTAAAGTTTTGGTGCATCTTAGCCCATTCATAACATGCAACTTTGTGACTTCTCTTGAAAGAGGCCTCTTCCAGTGGCATAGCGTGGGTATCAGATGCCTGGGCGAACGAAAATTTTGCCGCCCCCTTATTTAGGTATCTCAATTTAAAAAATTAAAATTCAGTTTTGTCACAGAATAAGTAATGAAAAATCCTGTGCTCATTTCAATCAGTCTGAATTGTAGGTGCAACAAAAATATGAAATGAAATGGTTCAAATTTTTACAAAATATTATTATTATTTATTGTGAAATTTTGCCGTCCCCTAAAAGTGCCGTCCGGGGCGGGCCGCCCCTGCCACATTTATGTTGCCAATTTTCAGTTGATTGCAAACTACACCACTGTTTATAGATCTAATTGGAAGTACACTTCAACACACCAACAGATTGATGATTTCATTCATTTTGTGTCCTTTGGCAAACATGATGGCTCCTTTTATCACTCAGTGACATTTTTCTTATGACCCATATTGCAGGCTCAATTCAACAACACTCACCACTTCATAAGACAAAGACCCTGTAGACCATATCAGTACTATTTATCACCCAACAATTCTTCCAGGGTGCCCTCTGTGCAATCAGTACTATCTACTGTCATTTCTGTAGGGGTGACTAATTTTTTGTCTGGTGTGCTTATATCTATTTATATTTTCACTAAAACATTAAAATATATTTGAAAAACAATGATTATCTTAAGAAAGAATAAAAGATATAAATAGAATATTATGCTAAGAAAATTTCAATTCTTCTATAGGCTGTATTATATCATCATAAAATCCAAAAGATATTTTGTATTTTATGAAAATGATAATATAAAATTTGCAAAAAGATAAATAAGATATTTTTATACATTTTTATTGAGAAATTTGTTTATTTTATTTAATTTTATTTCACAATTAGCTTGTCAGAGACAATGCTGATCTTCGATGTGAACTTCCAAAATTGGAAAAACGCTTGCGTGCAACTATGGAAAGAGTTAAGACCTTGGAAACAGCTCTGAAGGAAGCAAAAGAATGTGCCATGCGAGATCGTAAACGGTAAGTCATTTCAATACAATACTAACTTTCATTCATCAATTAATTCAGTTCACTTCATTTATTTTTTTAAAATTTTCAGTTATCAATATGAAGTAGATAGAATTAAAGAAGCAGTCAGACAAAAGAGTCTCAGCAGAAGAGGTCATATGGCACAGATAGGTTAATACTTTTTTGGTATTTATATATAAATAAAATCAGTGCTATTTTATATACCAGTATCTAGTCCATTAAATTTTTCATTAATCTAAGATTCATTGAAAGAAGCATAGCACAATTCATGCAATGTTGTTGTGTTATGAGAGTCATTTTTTTTTTAACTTGTTATATGTTGGCAATGTATTGTGGCACAATAGCTTGATTATGTCATTTCCAATCATATTATCAATGGTAGTAAATATTAGAGTATGAATTGGTAAAAGGGACAACAAAAGTAAATTGTTAAGGCATCAAGTCTGGTGCAATCAACAGTCTATATTCACTCCTTACTTGAATGATATTGTCTAATATTATAACTATTTAGTGAATTATAAACCAACTTCAAAAATTATGAAAGAAATCATCAGTAGTGATAAGATTGTCTAATATTATTATAATTTCTTTTAAAATTAAAGAATGAGTAATAAAAGAAAATATGCTTTGAGTTAATTAAATTACAGAAATACTTTGCCTTTCTGAACTAATGTTTCTAACAATAATTCATAAAGTAAGATATAAGGAGAATGATGTATTAAATGGAGTTACACTGATTTTCCTTACATCGGAACATAGTCTTTCAAAACAGAGGAGGAATAATAAAACAATGCTTGAAAAAAATCATTTTAATAATTAAAAGAAAAAAACTAGCAGTACAGTGTATAAAATAAAAACAGAATGTATAAAGAGCTTCATTCTTTTAATGATGATGGTTGTTCTTTTTTATTGTCTTATCATATTCACTTTGTACAATTTATTTAGGTTCTTCAAAACTTTGCCTTTAACTTATTGTTGATTTTCAAAGTTTTTCCAAATGTCTTTCATGTTCTTTTAACTGGTCTTTTCTCAGGCTTTTATTATTATTGTCACTGAAAATTGTATGCTTCAACATCCATCATATAAACATAATTGTTTTCTGTGCTATGCACTTGCTGTAGGTGTTCTTCATATTGTATAGATGTCTGTTGATTACAAATTCATACTTCATTGCAAAGTCTAGATTTTGGAACTTGTTTTCAAACAGTATATACATTGGTCAACTATTACATTATGTTCCTCTGTTATGAATAATGACTATATATTTCATCCCAAAGTAAACTCTGTAGAAACTGAACTTAATATTGTAATTATTTAAAGTATTTTTCCATAATAGTTAACATTGCAATTACTCAAATATCTCATCATACTCCTCACTTGTAAACTATCTATGAGTCATTTCCAGATGCCTTTGTTGTTGAAACACCCCTACAATAGAATGAACCTTCTGTCAGAATGACACAAGATGATGGTGCTGTAGGAAGGTAATGGTGTCAGAGACAGAGATGTACACAAATAATCACGTTTATTTTAAAAGAAAAACTCTTACAATTATTCATAGTTACACTCAATATGGGTGGGAGTTGGTGTTTCAATGGTGAATCTATGAAGACTGGGAAGCAGAGAAGATGAATTCCCAAATGTCAGATGAGTCAACAATGGTAAATTGTATTTTAATGGATTGGTCTCACTGGCTGAAACTTTGAGGACACAATATAAAGCAAGTTAACAGCTGAACCCATTTTTAAATGCTTTTATTTAATGTTAACAAAGCCAACAGAATAGTCTGAGATATTAAACCAACTTCCTTGTTGTTGAATTTAAGACATTTTCTTATTAAATAAAACTAAACATTTTATGTCTCAGAAAAATCATTAAAACAATTTTAGACAATTAAATTTTGTCTTTAAGAAAAGCTTCATAAAATGAAAATTGCTTTTAATCTTTCAGTATTTTTAATGAAAAGTCTTATTTCTCTTTAGCTAAACCAATTCGTGCTGGTCAACATGTAGGAGGAATGACTGCAATTAGATCTGGTGTGCCAGTTTTTCGACCACCAATAGCAGAAAAGTAAGTTGAATTTTATAAAATCAATCCTCTTACAAGGGGAAGTTATGACATGGTCCTCAGGTTTTAATAATAATGTTTGTGTGGATAAGCCTTGGTATGAACCTTTATTGATTTAAAAACAGAGATTTTCAAGAAAATGTTTGGGAAGGACATTAACTTGAAAAATTCTGAGTAAATTACTCAAGTTTTGCAGCATTTTTTTTTTCAGACTGCATAGTTCAGAAGTAGTGTGCTTTAAGCTTAGTTCACACTGAGTGCAATTTGCTGGCGAAAACGAAAAACAGAGCGAATAACCTGTGAAATGAGTCATGTTTGACCGGTTATTCGTTCTGTTTTTTGCTTTCGCCAGCAACTAGCACTCAATGTGAACTAAGCTTTACTCCTATTTGCATCTCAATAACAGAGGAAATTTTATTCAAATCAATGTAATTTATACATTTTTGTCTTTGGACATTTAATATAAATTTTGTCCATTTATTTACTAAAAGCCTGTAAAATTTGTATCAATTTGAAAAAGTTTCTTTGGGATGCAATCCTCACAAATAGGAGTAAGGCACACTGTCAATAAAAGATTCCACAAAACTTTGCTCTTAAGTTTCTCAGGATTTTTTAACTTTGATTTTCTTGCAAACGTTTGAGAAACACATTTTCTCTTTGCTCAATAAGGAGCTGTCCATAAATGATGTCCACACTGAAAGGAAGGGGAGTTACGACAAGATGGAGAATCTTTGAGCTTTGGTGGGCATTCATTTATTTTATTAAATTTTGTACAGTTAACATATTTTATTATATTATTTCAAAATTTCTTGTATGTTTCGTTTATACTTAAAGATTTTGAGGGAGGCTGAGTTTTGTTGGACATCCAAAGGGGAGAGGAGGTTACTGAAACTTGGACAAACTGGGACAAGAGGGGGAGTAAAAATTTCAAGAAAAATGCAGATATAGTTTATGGACAGACTCTAAAAGTTCATATCAAGGCTGAGCACACACACAGTGTTATTGAAAACCCTTGGATCATATTGTAACCTTCCTCTTATTACATTGAATGTTGTTCTAAAACTAATTTTGAATATATAATATAATAATAATAAATTATTACTCTTTTAAGGCTATAGGAAAAATGACATGGTATGAAGAAATGAGATTTTGTGTGAATATTGTTATTTCTTCTCCTTTTCACAATTTAGAAATGACATTTGTGAAGAAATTTTCTTGTTCTTAATTTTTTGTGCATAAAATTTTTAGCATTTGTTTTAGGACGAAAAGAACATTCAAAGCCTATAAATATTAATAAACATTATACCTGTCTATCGACGCTTTCTACCCGTCGAAGAAATTTCCAGAAGAAACGAAGTGACATCTAATAGTATTAATTTATATTGCTTTCGTACGAAAATAGAACATTCTAAATGGCTGGACCAAATAATATAATTGTCTTATTGCTATTTAATATTTTAGTATTATTTTTCGTGTTTGCTACCTACTATAAGTATATTAAATATATGATGTGTGTCTGTCTCAGAATTGTATTTACAGTTTTTTTGTTTTAAAGTCTTGTATTTATATTAATTATATAATGGGACATTGTACAGTGTCTTCGTCTTCTTAAACCTTGCATACGCAATTCCTATTGTGATTGAGAAAATATCTACTAAAGTAGATGCTTCACAATAGGTAACTTAAAATGAATATGCAGCCAATCAATCTCATTATATATATAAAATATAATCTCGTAAATTACTTTTCATAGCTTTTAATCAAAATTACTTGTCTGCCAGTCACAGATACATTATATATATATAACTTTTGTAAAAAAAGAAAATTAAAAATATCATAAAGAATATAAAGCTTTCACGAGCATGTCTTATTTGTAATGTGTAAATATATATATAAATTATGTACTACTTAGTTTTAATCTGGTCACAAATAATTAATGCATGCTTGCAATCGACATGCTCGTTCGAAGTCGATCAAAGAGTACATTTGCACCACACTTTGTTATTGCTAATATGCAGAAGCAAATACTCCGATGGTTGCTCTTCTTTCCATAAATTAGCATCGGAGATATGTAATATCACCTAAAGTTTCCAAATCAATTGTTTTTTTAATTATTTGATCAAAATGTAATTGCTGTATATATGATATATACATTTCACTATCTGAAAAGAAGGTGAAATTCACCATGCTTGGCATTGCTGCTTTGTTCGAGAGGCTTTCAGTTGTTTTACAAATACTTAACATTTCATCCATGGCCTCTTCCAAATATCTGTATTGCTTTGTAAATGAATAAAAAGTCATGGGTTCTGTACTAAGTTTAGAAATTTGTATTTTATACATATATACAATTTTTCAAACACAGAAACAATCCAAGTCGTTAGCCAAACTTAAATCTAAACTATCGGGTACAGAGTCTCGACCCACAGCTGGATTTAATTAAATCCATTTCGGATTTCTTGCTTTTTAATTAAACCTGAAAAATAAACTAATATAACACTAAATTGCCGTATCATTGTCACAAACCAAACAACGCGTTGAAATGTAGAATCGAAAAACGTTACAGCAAAAACGGCTGACCATACATACTTTTTTCTCCCCCAATTATCTCATTTTAATAAAATTTTCACTCTTTGTCACGTTTTTCAAAACTTGTATACAAAATGGAGAGCTATTTTTAAACACATTTGTATATTGCATTCTGAACTTTGATTTGTTAGAAAATGTTTATTAATAAGGGTCATAAATTTGAACGGATGCTCGAATTGCAAGAAATATAGTTTCAACGAAGAATAGAAATGATAAAATAATGAGTGCTAATGAAGAATAACCAAACACTGAAAAATGGAAGAAAAAATGCAGCTGACAAAACATTTAATGAAATGTACGAAAAAGCTCCAATTCAAAGATCTAATATTACTTTGATAGAATTAGTTCCTTGTTTTCCAGGAACTCCAACTTTTGTAGCAAGGATATTTTCGCTTATGAATTTTCTATGGTCATATGGTCAAAATAGAAGCAGAAATTAATTATTGAAGTCACGAAAGTAATGCTAATTATAAAGCAAGACTACGACTTGCAATAGCCAGAACAAAAGTTCATCCGAAAAATATGCCTGGAGTGAGTAGGATACCCTCTATACAAAACTTAAACTTGATCGATGTAATAAAAATATCACTTTTTCGTTACTAGATTTTCGAAAATAGAATATTTTAGATAAATTTACATATTCTTTTTTACGCCACCAAATTGATATCAGTAATGTACTGACAATAGCGGCCGGATGGCCAAGCGGTCAAGGTGGCAGCCCATCGCTCTGGGGAACCCGGGTTCAAATCCGAACGGGTCGAAAAATCCCCAGGAATTTTTCGGGGGTGGTCCGTTTGGATATATCGGGCACCGTCCCTCACCACCCGGCAGCCCCATTGTGGGCCTGGCTGAACCCATAATGGGCTTGCAAAAAGAGGCCCTCTTAGTGCCCACAGGGCGGGAAAGAGTTTAAAAAAAAAAAAGTAATGTACTGGCAAATTTTTAATGTGCTATATCAGTTGGGGCTCTCCACTTCCGTTTTTGTCTTAATTATGGTCAACCTACTTTTGAGTATAGTAAAATTTACGAACCTGAACGTACTGTAAAGTATACACAGCAATACATTGCAGATTATTCAGAGAACAGCAATGATTTTAAATTTCTTCTGAATTCTTAAATTTTTATTCTTTTTACTATATTTAAATATCCTATGCTTTGATTTTTATCGGTTTGATAATCGACGCTACTTTTAATATTTTGCTGGACGGCCTGACGACCGAGCGGTTAAGGTAGCGGCTTAAAGATGTGGGGACCCAGGAACGAATTCGAACAGGTCGAAAACTACTAGGAATTTTTCGGGGAATGGCACACTCAAGACTCACAGTCAACTGCTAATCTCCAAAAGTTGAAGGCTGACAGTGGACCAAACCACATTCCTGCAGAGGACATACCCATAAAAGCACCTGACATCAGCCTCATGGATTTCTTTGAATTTGACTTCCTGAAGCAACGTCTCTTTCTTCGTAAGGCTACAACATTAGATGATCTTTGGAAAGTAATTCAACAAGAGTGGTCATCTGTACCGGTCGAAACTTGCAAGGTCTTCTAATCGTGGAAGCGGCGATATCCTGCTGCGAGCCAACGAGATGGAGAACACATCTGGCAAAGACAATTCATTGATGGGTATTTCGTGAAAGAAAGTAAGTGAAAAAGTGAGTCACCCTCAGAAATGTATTATAAGAGCTCTCGTATAAATTTATATGTTGAATACAGAGTAAAATCATGCGTATTTGATACTTCCTTCTCCTTTAACTCTATTAAAGATATAAATACAGTATGTTAACAGCTTAAAAGGGTCGTACTTTAATCATCAATAGGAAATGTTCAAGTGGTTTTTCTTTTCACGAGAGAGACAAGTGTTTTTGCTAAAGTTCTTTTGGGACTAGAGGAACCTGTAGGGGAAGAATTTCTTGGACCCTTGGGGTTTTTTCAGATAGGAGAGTTTTTTGTACTCTGTCGTGGAGGATTTTCCAAGCGCAGGGAGGGATTCTCCCCAGCGAGGATGCCCTCAGCCATGGCCGCCAGACTCGGCAGCTCACGTCGATCTTAATGACCTTTACTTTTTCGTCCCTTTAATGGAGGCGGAGAAATTACATTCCATTAGCCTGTCGCTACTCCCAGAGCAAGTCTACACAGTTTTTCTGGAGGGTCAGAGTCCCCTCCACCTTCTTCGCCTGGCGGAACTTCATGAAACACTTCACACACTCGGAAAGCATACAAGACATTAGGTATTCCTGGGCAGGTGCTCTTATACTTAAATCCTGCGACCCCCAAACTGCGGAGGAGGCCCTCCATATCGCAGACTTGGCTGGGACCCAAGTGAGGGGCCGCTTGGCGTCCGACTGTGCGAGGTGTCTATACATCAATAGCTGTAACAGAGATATACAACATACTTTCGGCCAAAAACATTCCAATCATAGAAATACGCTGCTTCACGCGGAGAGAGGGGACTCAGTAGTTCCAAGCCCCACAGTTTACTTGTCAGTGGCAAGTGCTACAAAAATGGAGACAATTACCTTATACTATCAGCACTATAGATGTGTGAAAGGTACATTCCTCGTCCGCATCTCTGTGACCGGTGCCTTTCTTTCGGCCACTTAGAAGCTTCATGCAGAGGCCGACGTAGATGCATCAGATGTGGAGCGAATTATGAACCCAATGAATGCAATGCTGAGCGGAAGGACTGTGTCCACTGCATGATGCAAGAACAGACGACCTTCTCCGGATGATGTATACCGTGATGAGCCCGATGGCGACCTTTTGGTGCAAACCTGCTGGAAGGCGTGCCACCCACTACAATTCAACGTATTGAAAAGCCACTCCACACTACCCTCCGTACCGCATTGGGCGTTCTGAAAACCACCCCAATCATCTCGCTATACACTGAAACGTTTTATATGCCACTACATCTCAGGCTCCACCAAAAAGCATTGGCAAGTGCCATCACCCACATCTCCAGGGGTCTGCACACCCACTTTTTATTACGGCACATGGCTTGGATTACTATCGCTGGTGCCCGTATCAGAGACCATATATTCACAGAATAATATCCCTTATATGTCAGGAGGGGTTTCCGATATCCCACCTATATCAACAGAAACATACTCCGTTCAACATGGCCCGGATTTGTCCTCACGCCTTTAAGAGCTAACTCGCTCTCCTTCGGAACCCCCAGAAATAGCATGTGCACCATTCCGATAGATGCAAATGTCAACCTGGCAGGGAAGGATCCTCATAGGGGGATGCCTTCAAGTCAAGGATCCGCATATCGATAGGGATTGTCCTCCTGGATCACCACATCAGGGAGACCTGGCTGTTAGATAATTCTTGCAGTGTATACGGGGCAGAAGTCCTACACCTAAGCTCAAGCCTAGACGGTCCGTCGGTCATATGCTCCGACAGTAAGTCCACAATACAGGCGATAGGTAATATCTCCTCCTCATCCCCGGCACTTTTATTGACATTGCGGACAATATTAGTCAGCATCCCAAACCCATTGAAATCGGGTGAACCACAGGCCACGTGGGAATAGACATTAACGAGGCAGCAGACAGAGCCGCGAGCACAGATACCTCATCAGGCTCTTGGCATAGGTCACTTATGGCCCGTGATTTAATCCGGGAGTATAGAGAAAAACAAAAAATAAGTTTGCTGACCACAATTCTGTGATTTTGTGACAGAATTGTGGTCAGCAAACTTGCGGAATAAAGGACGAGACCACCTCAGACCCTTCACTCCCTGGCCTTACAGGCACACTTCTTCTCGGAACACGGAGACCCTCTTGGCCCGCCTTAGAACTGACACTGCTCCTCAAAACGGGTTCCTCTGTTCTAGAAACCTATGAGCTTCACCAGACTGTCCACATTGTGGCGCTCAAGAGACATCCAGACATTATTGGCTGATTGCCCAAGATATACAGAAGCCCGACAAGAGCTCGGCCGTACTCTGAAGATAGACCTCGCAATCATCCAGACTTTAACACCCATATATTGGGTAAGAACAGACCTCTCACCTAGACAGCACGTGCAGACCCTCGAACGCTACGTAGCTCGCACACATCGATTTGTCTAATAACGGACAGGAGTACATCGGAGAAAAGGCGATCCAGCCAGAATCTCCGTATTAGAGAAGAAAAAAGAAAGAAAGCTTAAAAGATCATTTTGTTTTAGAATTTTGTGGAGGAAAATTCAACTTTCAAATAATTTTTATAATACTTCACACTGGGAAAAGATCTTCCAATTCCGGATGGGTCGAAAAATCCCCACGAATTTTTCGGGGATGGTCCGACCGGATATGTCGGCCTCCGTCCCTCACCACCCTGTCGCCCCATTGTGGGCTTGGCCGAACCCATAATGGGTTTGCTAAATAAGACCCTTTTAATGCCCACAGGGCGAAAAGAGTTTAAAAAAATCTTTCAATTCGGTATTTGTGAGACAAAATATTATATTTAATATTCCAATCATTTGAAGAACGCATATCTTAAATTGCATCCAAATATGGACCAAATAAATCATTAAATTTTTTACGGTAGTCTCTCTCTAAAGGGGTTTCAAGATCGCATGTCACGTGATAAAACGGACGTTGGCTCTGCCCCTTCACCATGTTTGTGCTCTAGCTTCCGCTTGCATAGTTTACATGTGGTTTTTGACAGGTTGGCAGCATTTTTTTTCAATTTAAACTTAATAGAACTGCAATATTTTTATATCATGGACAAAGTTAAGAAAGATGC